CTCCTTCACTGTGGGCACAACTGTGTATGAGACATTGGGGTGGGTCGCAAGTACCATCACCAGAAAAAAAAAAAAAAACCAAAAAAGCCACCACAGTCTTTTAAACATTTTCTAGAAAATTGCTTATTACTATTCTAGAACAGAGGCCTTTTATTAATTCTGTTACGTATCATTATAACAGATAGAACTAATTATGATGTGGACTATTTTTGTAGTATCTTCTGAAAGAACAAGTCCCACAGCCCAGCCCAAAAGGTAGGTGTCGGTTTCCTAGCCTTTGTGCAGAGATTCAATCAAGAAAACACATTTATTGTTTATATTAACTCCATGAATAGCAGACAGAGTTTTCACAGGCAACACTCTTCAGCGTAAGTAAGAAAAGAAATGATATAGCCCCAGAAATTTAACAACTAGCGTTAATATGGAACAGAGGTTTTATTTATAGCAAACTGTAACATAATACACAAATATTGTTGGTGTTATTCTATATCTCTGGATACAGCATAAACAATCTTGCAGGATTCCATGGTTTTATATGGGAACAGGGTTAATGGGATAACAAATTTTGGAAGTGAAACTTTTCAAAAAAGAAAGAGAATCTAATGATCATGTAAAGGGGTGTTTCCACTCCAAGAGCCATAGACTTAGGAAAACTCACAGTTCAGCAGTGAGGATGGATAGGTCTCAGCAGATGTATATTTATGAAATAGAAAAAGTCTAAAAGTTCATAGAAAAATGATAAAAGTGTGTGTTTTTAGCCCAGAGTTTAATATGATTATTTTAGTTGTCTTTATAGGATGTCATTACAGTATTTTAAGTATACAAGTTCGTTGTTATAAACAAGTAAAAAGCAACATCAGAATCTCTGAACTTTTTCAGGAGAGTGACAGACATTCCTTCCCTAGGACTTTATCATCCCTGCCCAGAGAACTGGGTCTGGTTTAGATGCAGTTGTTATTACTTCTCCAAGGAAAATCTAAGCTGGAGAGAGAGTCAGTTGGCCTGCTTGTCTCTCAATTCCAGTCTCATAAGGATTAGCGAAGAGGAGATGGTAAGTTGCTTCAAATGTGAGTTGCAGGGTGCGCGATCCCCAGAGGGATTAATAGGGTCAAACTGACCGCTACTCACTCTTGCTTACGCTTTTACCAGTTCAATAGCTGAAGGGTAAAACTGTTCTATCTTTTGTTTCAGTTTTTATGTGCAAACTATAGGGTAGACTTATGCTTTTCATAATGATAAAAATAGTAAAATAATATTTGGAATTTCATTCATGATGAATATATTGAAGCTGGGTTTGGTGGCACAGGCCTATAATCCCATTTCCTTGGGAATACAAGGCTGGTAGATTCCAAATTCAAGACCTGCTTGGGTTACAAAGTGAGTTGAGGACAAGCCTGTACAACTTACCATGACTCTCTCTCTCAAAATAAAATAATAAAAAAGAAGAATATAATGAGTTGAAGAAAGTAGCTCAGTGGTAAAACATTTATGAGATGTGTCTTATAATACACCATCATTTAGTGAGACTGCAGACTTCAGACATAGATTAAATATATACAGAGTGAGTTGACTTTTTCAAAGGCATGTGATGAGATAATGATGAGAACGCTACGTGTTCTGTTTTCTCACTTTCAGGATTTTTTTCATTTGGACTCTTTCTTTTGGGTTGGAATTTACTATAATGGAACTAGCAAACAGTGGCGGTGGGAAAACGATTCAGTTCTGTCCTCTGAAACGTAAGTACCCACACGGCATCAGGTGTTTAATTTAGTTATGGTGTAAATGGAGGGTTGTGGACACAATTTCAGCAGCATGAGAGAACTGAGGAAACAATCTTTTATACCTACCCCACATGCGGAGGGATTTTTGCTTGAAAACATTCTTATTAACTTCCATACTAAACTAAAAGAAACTATGTGGCAGAAATGAAAGGCGTTTATTATCTCTTCATAGTTTCCCTGCTAGAAGTCTGAGCCTAAGCGTCAGCAGGTACACCTTCCAAAGTCCTCCTCAGCTTAGAGCTAGCCCTCCTCTGTCTTTTCACTAATCCCTCTTCTGAAGATAGCAAGTCACACCAGGGCTCACCCTAATGACCTATTTCAACAGAGTTATTTCTTAAGAGTTCCACCTCCAGATAGATTCTGAGCACTAGAAGTAAGGAGTTGGGATAGCATAATAAACACTTTGCCTCTTTGCTCCCCGAGTTTTACAGCTTTCTCATTTGCAAACATATTTGTACATTGTTCTAAAAGTACCAAAGCGATTGATTCTATCCCAGCACCAATTTTCAGTTGATTAGATCTCTGACTCACCACAAGGCAAACCTCTTCTCCAATGTGAATTTATGGATCCAAACATGAAATATCTATGAAATATTTGAAAGTGGGACAGACATAGGTTAGACTTTCCTCATTCTGGAAAAAAGCAACAGAAACACATGCATATTGAAACCCACCCAAGCAAGCTAGAAACTTTTAGGGAGGCAAAGCTACCCCCACTCTTTTTTTACATTAAAAGTTGTTTATATTCTCTGTTTAACTTTTAAAACACTATACAAACTGAATAATAAAGCAAAAAGCAATAGTAAATAGTCCTCTGCTCATTCATCACTTCATAAAAAGTACCAGCTGGGGGCGATGTTCCTAGAACTGATCCTGGACACAGTTCCCAGGCAGATGAGCATTATCCTCACAGGCTTGTCTTGACACTCTCCTTCCAGGTTTGGATCCACTACTTCTCCCCATCAGGAAGGTTTCTCAGTTTACTAGAAGAGAGAGAGGCGAACATTAAGGAAATGACACTTTAGCTAGATGATCAGGCAATCCTTTTATTTGTCTAAAAATAAGTTGGCACACCTTCATTTAACACAATGTCCTTTAGTTCTAAATCTCAAGAACAATTCTCAGTTTAACATTCTGTCCCCTGGCCTGCCAGAGCAATGACTACATTATATAAGATCTAAGGTCATCTGCAATATGTTATTAATGGCCTCTTGTGTTTAATATTTGACTCACCATGAGACTAAACACTGTGGTGCCAAAATATATATTTATACCGCTGGCAACTTTTAATTACGTGAGTTATGCAGTTCGTTTTGCTCTATTTTTTTTTTTAATTGCAGTGTCATGGATCCAAGGCAGGCCTTTGATCTTGCTAGCATCATGCTCCCATGCTGAGCTACAAATCTGAGCCCTATTCACAGGCTCACTATTTTTTTTAAGTTTCTTTTTCTAACCTGACAACCAACTGGCATCCCTTCCCCACTCACTTTTTCTTTAGTTGAAATGTTAATTAATATTTACAATTCCATATGCAGTTGATAATTTTGCAGTATATTAGCATTTTACCAATATGAATTACAGGTTTTGGAAATCACACAGGTTGCATTTTTAAATTGTGTATGTAGGGTAACAGTTCTGTAGTATCGTGTGGATTTGAATGCCACGTAATTTATTGATAACAGTGTAATTTGTTTCATTTTAGGTTTTGTGGTTTTGGAACTGATATGAAAGACTCCTGTGCATCTTATAAATCAAAAGGAATTTGTTTTCTTGAAAATTGTACAGATAAACTGAAATATATCTGCAAGAAGTATTATATTTAATTCTAAGGGCTCACAAAAGATATGAAAATGAAACATTTCTTCTCAAACTTCTCTTTTGGTTGTTTATTTTCTGAAGAAAACATTGTAAATGTTTGCCTCTGCTTAAATAAAATTATATTCAAATACATTTTAGTGTTATTCCTTGTCAATGTTTATGCTAACATATTTATTGCATATTGCATGCATTTTAGAAGAGTGTAATAAATGGTTTCTGAATGAAATGCGATAAAGCTGATGAGTTCAGATTAAACCATTTGTCATTTAAAAGCTTGAGCTATGGGGCCTGGAGAGATGGCTTGGAGGTTAAGATCACTGTTTACTGACTCCTCTTCCAAAGATCTTGGATTCAATTCCCAGCAACCACATGGTGGCTCACAACCATCTGTAATGAGATCTGGTGCCCTCTTCTGGCCTGCAGGTGTACATGCAGGCAGAACACAGTACACATAAAAAATAATAAAGAAAACATTTTTTAAAAAAGCTTGAGCTATGTAAAGTAACACTATTGTCTCTACTCAGCACACTTCTGTGTGTGTATCTGTGTGCACGTGTGCATGCATGTATGTGTGCATTTTACAGTGTCAAAAAGTATTGTTAACTGAAAACAGAGATATTATAGTAACAAAAGAACATGAGTCATCTGACCACATTAGAACTAAAATGATTTTAAAAATGTTGGAATTAATTATCAGATTTATTTTAGTATATTGCCCAGTTCACTCTACTGTCTAATACCCTGAGAAAAATAACTAGGGACGAAAGTTTAAGCCATGTTTTCATGTAATGTAATTGAATTTAAAAATCAAACTTGCCAATTTTTAAATTTCTATTCATTGTGTCTTACATAGCATTTAAAAATACTAGAACTAGGTGATTATTAAACACTTATTTTAACTTAGCTGCTTTAGAAGTTTTAGTGACTGATACAATAATGAGGACAACCTGCAGACTTTATAGTCATCACTGCTCTTCATCTCACTATCACAACTGTATCCATCTCTCCTCTCACTATTGATTCATCGACACATGTCTCTGTGTCAACACAATTCCCTCAGTCCTACAGCTGCTTACCAATGACTGGTTTCAAAACCTATTTACAATTTTCTTCTTTGAAGTAATATTTATTTATTATAAACTCACAATCTTAACTAATACTCAATAAATTTGGCAACTACTGGTAAAATACAGATTATTTTGATATCCTAGGAAGTTTCTTAAGCCAAGTTCAGTAAATCCCTATCACTTCCCAGAGCAAATTGCTGTGCTGTTTCTTCACAGTAGCTAAGACATTCCTTTCCTTTGTTTAAAAAAAATTGATAAACACAGCGTGTCCTTCCCTATATAAAATTTTTCCTGCAGTGTGACATTTTGAGGCTTATTGTTGATAGTGCGTGTTATGAACATTCAGGCAAAGAGTGATGTCCGGCGCTTCAGTTTTCCTGAGCTGGTCTTGAGTGGCCATGGCAGTTCTACCTCTAGGTTAGTGTTTTTAAACATGACATTTTCATCTCTTGCCTCTGAAAAATATGAACCTTAAAACAGCTTTTGCCCCCCAAATTTTGACAATAACTTCACATTTATCTTGCACAATATAGTTTACTCATGTTGAGTTCTACTTCCTTAAAGATATGGTGAGGGAATATTGTGTGTAAAAGAGCAATCACTGGTGTATTTTAGCTTGATTTTACTTTATTTCTTGACTTTGCTGACAAAACTGTACCTTGATTAGGGTATGTTTCCTGTAATTCTAAATTAGAATACCATTTTCATATTGAAAACTCACTTTGTCTAATCACCACACCATATATGCATGCAGCATTTCAGTATACTAATGATATAGAAAATTATTTTCAGTTAGTAATAAAATTATGAGATACTGTAAAGTGTAAAAAACGAAAGACAAAATTTCTGCTTTCAAAATAAGTTTTTTTTGCAAAATAAATTTTTATTCTAAGGTTGTCTTCATGCTAAATTATCATGGGATAGCATAGACACATGGCTGACTGCTAAACTTGGGTTGATAATAGACTACAATTGAAAGTTCATATTTTAATAGTCTTTGCCAGGTATCAGATTTCTTTTCATCTGATATGAACAGCTTTTTATAAAATCCTGTTCTGGAATTTTTCTGTTCCAATCCTGGTGACAGGAATCCAATGAGAACCCAGGAAGGAGGTAAAGAACTTCCTTTATCTTGAATTCAGTGATTCCATATTTATTTTTAAGTCAGTGGCAACATTACAACTTTTATCAGAGCATTCATTAAACTCTTTTTTTTTTGTCTCTGATGTAAGGAACTATGACTAACATCATATAGTTATGCACGGCATTCTTTCAAATCTTTCTCCAGCTTTTGTCTGTTCATTATCTCCATGCCTACCTCTGAGTCCTCAAAGAGAAGATAGTTAAAGGATCCCATGGAGGCAGTGGGTGTTATTTACAGTCCACAGAATATTTCTTGTTCATTGGGTTATCTTTGTGATTGGTATTTATTTTTACTTCCCTTTTATAGGGAAAATATTTTCATGGGCTCAAGTTTGATGTTGTTTCCTGTGGCCATGCTTTGCCAGAATCACAACACTGTTGCAGTTACAATGATAATGGTCAACCACAACTACACTTGCAATGCTCCCTTGTGGCCCTTCTTTCTTCCCTCCTGCATCTACTGCTACATGGTCAGTGACAATGCTTAAACCCCTTTTAAAACCTTTTGCAGCAGCCTCTTATTTTCAAGCTATAGCATTCCTCCTGTCAATCACCCGCTACTTCTCCCCTAGACCACACGGTCACATTATGGCTCAGGCAGGCAAGAGCTGTTATTTTCAGGTGGTGGTATCTCTGTAGTTAGAAATAGTTAGCACTGTACAGTGAGATGTGTCAGGCCTGCCTTTTATGTGCATGGAGTGTGACTGAGCTGTTGAAGGAGTCAGATACAAACAGTGGCTAGGCTCATATCACAATTCAGAGAGGTCCTTTAAAAGCCTATCTCCAGGCCTAGAGAGATGTTCAGTGGTTAAGAGTGCTTGTTGCTCTCCTAGAGGAGTTGAGCTCAGTTCCTAGCACCCAAATATGGTGGCTCACAATGGCTAAAACCCTAGCCTCAGGTGAATATGACACCCCATTGCCTTCACAAACAATGGTTTTCATGTGGACACACACACACACACACACACACACACACATACTTAAATAATTTTTAAAGAGTTAGTCTCCAAACTCATTGTAGTCAATGGTAAATGGCCATTGTCTTGAAACCAGGCATACCAGCTCATGCCTGTAATCTCAGCATTTAGGAGGTTGAGACAATTTCTTTCTCCCCTGGACTTTCTATGGAGCTTCATGAAAACCCAATGAAAGTGAAAAAAGAAAGAAACATGCAAAGTGTTCAAGACTCACTCCCCAAGGGAAGGTTAGTGTCCAAAGTCTGTACACTGAGTCCTTTAGAGGGTCTTACTGATTCTTAGTCTTCGGCTGGGGCCTGGTGTGCATTTTGTTCTAAGTTAAGGAATCTGTCTCCTGGTCACATTCCCTCTTCTTTCTGTTCAGGTTTCTTGGCAGACAGCTACCCAGAGAGTAACAAGGTAGGCATTTGCTGAAAGAACAAGAAAGGGAATCTTACCTATCATCTATGGAAGTGCTTGAACTTTGGATGTCAAGAACTGACCAATCAGCCAATCTTGCTGTGATGTTTCACAATGATGACCTAAAGACTCACCCAAACTCACCACAGCTAAACTATTTTCAGCTACCCAGGAGGTGAGGAGCCATAGCTACAACACACTCAGGAAGTTCTTATATTTGCTTAGAGGGCCTCTGTGGTGTACTAATATAATATTTAGAAAAAGTATACATTAGGGACTGAAATTGCAAAACAAGTTGCATAGCTTTTCTAGTCTGGCGTAAACATTCTTATACCCTAAGCAACCAAGAAGAATGTGAATATTTTTATTTAAAATATGTTATATTTATGTCATATTCACCTGGATATTTCAGTGAAGACATCTCTTTTGTATAAAGTAGTCACTTAGACAGGGTCAGATGCTCAGAAGAAACCTCAATATCTGACAATTGCATGCTGTCACTTCTTCTCATCCAGGGTGAGTAAACTATGCCTGAACGGGGTGAAGGCTGCTGCTTTGTTTTCTTCTTAGCTTTTGTGAGAAGAGTGTTTCTGGGTACTTTTAATTCAGTGTGAGTACAGAAACGTGGTAGTGTACTGTGTAATGTCTCTGGTGAGTAACCATGACTAAATCTGCAAACTGACTTGAAAGTGTAAAATGATATTTTTTTCATTTGTTAAAAAAAACAACAAATCAAGCTCCCAAAGTATAACTTAAAAATTACTAGGCATCATATCAGAGGTCAAGTAAAATGTGGTGTTAAATTAGAAGGGCATGCATTTAAACTGTGTCAAATACTTCCTCATCTGGATAGGAGGTAATGGGTGGCTGTTTCTAAAGGACCCTAAAGAAGTCCAGAAAAAGCTGATGAAAGAACAGCCTTGCCGGGCGGTGGTGGCGCACACCTTTAATCCCAGCACTTGGGAGGCAGAGGCAGGTGAATCTCTGTGAGTTCGAGACCAGCCTGGTCTACAAGAGCTAGTTCCAGGACAGGCTCCAAAGCTACAGAGAAACCCTGTCTCGAACCAAAAAAAAAAAAAAAAAAAAAAAAAAAAAAAAAAAAAAAAAAAGAACAGCCTTAATGAATTCTTAAAATGTTCTATGGAAGGGTTTAATCACAAAAAGGAACTTGGATGCTTAATTAAAATGATATCAGAATCTTAAGCTCCAGGAAGAAAGTTCAAAGATAGGAGGAATTTCTTTTTGCTGGGTACATTTATTCTCTTTACATACAAATACTATTGAGGATGACAACTTTTTCATCAGTAAAAGAATGGAATGTCAAAATACTTTATTAAAAATATATACATTCATATACAAATTCATATATACATGTATATTTAAATAAAGCATATGAGTCAAATACTAAAATTGGAATATAATGTATTAAATTCTCCCCCATTGAAGCAAATCATTTACACAAAAACTGATAAACATTGGTAAAAGTTTTTGTTTACCTTATTTTTCTTTAAAAAACAATTCTTTAGATTAACAAAATATTTAGTAATAACAATTTTCTGTAATATGAATGAAGACATTATATGGTCATGGTTAAATATATATATATATATTATTGAACTATGTATGGTTTTGAATTAGTTCTCTGGAAATGGCAGTGGCTAAAAGAGTGGGGGGGCAGAGGGAGGAAAATGGAGCATTTGGAAGAATACATAACTATCTGAAACAGATACAGTAAAACTCAATATCCCATTGAGTATCAGTTTGGGTGTTTCTGTAAGTTCTGAGAAATGTTTTAGGTATACAGTTTATTTGTAATATATATAAGGATTGAGGTGGGTGGTACTGTTAACACAGGGAGAAGAAGGCAGAACACAATTGAGATTGTCCTTTCTCTTAACCAATTACTTGAAGTAGGTCCTGCGATGGTTAAGTGATTCTGAGAAGTGAGATAAATAACTGTGTCTATGTTTTTTTTTTGTCTTAATGTCAGTGTTGCCGAGCTATATTAAATTCTGAGATATGTCCATAAAGGTCAGCCTGATGATAATTAGTCAGCACTGTGGATTGCCATTTGTGGGAGCACCAAGATTTCTAGCAGTTCTAAGAGAAAAAAAAAAAAAGATCAGATGTACAGGGGTTCATTCAGACATTATTTGGCCAGAGTTCACCAAATATTTAATTGAGATGATTGGGCAGATGAACTGATTTAGTGGGGGTAAGTAGGAGGGGCGCCATAGTGTGAAAACAATTTAGTTGTCTGTGTACAAAAAGGAAACATACTCAAGTAGAGTTGGGAGTTTAGAAAGACTTAAAAGGAAGGTCAAAACTACGTGTCTGGGGAGTGAGGAAGAGAGAGAGGGAGAGAGGTGGGGGTCGGGAGAGCATAATGGTAGTGGATATTGCTTTCTTTCTTTCTGAGTTTGCCTGCTGTGACTGGGTTAACACATCAGGGATCAGAAACACAGAGCAAGACATGGATATTCCAACCAGTCTGTACTAAAGGAGACAAATGCCAACCTAGGAAGTGCAAATGCAGGTAGGGCTTAGTTTTAAACAAATTTTTTTGTGAGCTTTTTAAGCTTAAGTAGCCTTAGGCAAGTTAACACTATCTCTCTTAGGTTCCTCACTATCCAATTTGATATCTTCTTTATTAAACCATCATAAACAAATATTTTGGCACATAATATATGCTTTAAAATTTGTTGAACACAAAATCAATAAGTATTTGTTATTATAAAAGTAGAAATTCTGTGTGGAATTTTATAATACTAAGGGAATTTGCCATTGGTTTGTACATCTTACCTCTATTTTCTAAACAGAGTTTTTAGAGACAACTTTGATGTTCACACACTGATAAAAGTTCCCTCCCATCTCCTTTCGCTGTGGTGTTTTTTTGACAAAGTCACAGAGAGAATTTCCTGTGCTCTGGTTGCTGGGTCACATTAGAAGCTTGCGGCATTACTGCTCATCCTACTCTGCATCTGCATGTGATTCCAACAGAGGATTCAAGAGCATCACCGCAGCACACTATGTCCCTTCCTCTTTGAAGGCTTAATGTCTCCTCCCTAGCTTCCTGCTGAGCTCTGAGATCCACATCGTTCTTAAGCATAAACACATCTCCTCTGAATCAGCCTTGGACCGTCACTTCTCATGGCAGGTACGTGTGCCCCCGTCATAGCAATGATAAAATAATAACCGGAAATGATGACTCACAGATTGAATAATTTCAGAGCCGGCTTTAATAAAAATAAAACACAAAGTACAGAATCAGCATTGGATATTTTTAGACTTTCCATACTTCAACGCTTTTTGCATTCTCTGTTTTCTTGATTCCACATTTTGGAATTTAAGCATGACTTTATGAAGCTAAACCGTAGGCAAACTTTTTCTGAGTTAGGGTGTGGTTTTTGTTAAATTTAGAATGAAACTGAAACTAAATTGTTTCACTCATCAGCATCATGTTTCTACTACGGGAATAAAGAATGCCAAGTAATAAGGACACAAGTCTTGCAGATTTATAAATTTGTTTTCTGTGCTGTGGCTTCTTCACTGAAACCTCGTACTGTTGGTAGTGGCAGCAGTTATTTTTTGATAATAATCTAATGTTAAGAGAGAGTCATCTAATATGGAAATGTCTCAAGCAATAAGCAAGAGGCTTTGGATATGAGTTATAGTATTGTTGAGAAAGCAGAAAGTCAAAGGTTAGTTTTGTATCAAGTCAGAGTGCTGTGAACTGAACTCAGATCCTCAATCCATACATCATTGTGGAACTTCTCACCACACCAGAGTGTTTTCCTGCAGACCTCTGCAAGTCACTAGTCTGAGCGTGGTCTGCATTCAGACTTGGAGAGAACACATTCAGTGATGGTATTCTCCTGACAACGAGGGAATATGATAAATGACAGACTCTGATTGTGACACTATTCTGTTAGATTTCTGTCAGGCACTTACTAGCTTTATAACATAAGAAAATAATATTGTGAGCAATCTTTATTTTTCTCATCTCTCTAAATCAGAATTTTTAAATCCATGATATTGCTGAAAGGAAAAGAATTGTCTGTTTAGCAAGCCCACTATGCACCATGAATGCTTGTTGATCTATTCTTACTGTAGAGAGAAATTTCACTGCAGATTTAAAGAGTTAGTGGCAAATGATTTTAATGATGCAGAAAATAAGTATGAATAACCACATCAAAGAATAAGGTACATCACATCAAAAGATTGCTGTTGGGTGGAGTTCTGAAGCAACGTTTTCATTCCCCAGTGTTTCACTGGAGAGACATCTGTACCATCATAAAAAAGATTTGGGTTCTTTCTCTTCTTAAAAACTTCATTTTCTATGTTTTTATTTTAATCTGTTAGTTATTAATCTATATGTTTGGTATTTTTCTATAGTTTCTAGGATAAATCTGTGGAGGCTGATGTCTGTGATCTTTGGGATAAAATGTCTTTTGTTGATGGTTACTTTGGGAGTTTTGATGAAAAACTGTAAGTATTTCTATGCAAATCTATAGAAAAAAACAAAATTATAATGAACTAATTTAATAATGAATATTTAATTTTTTAAATGTATAATATTTGATTTCATAAATACATGTCAAACTAATCTTTAATAATGTCTTACAGCATTTACTATACAGAGTATTCAACCAACACCTTCTCCAACTTCCGTCGAAGAAGGTAGGTTCCATTTTTTTTCACAAATATAATTAATAGGGGCTGGAGAGATGGCTCAGTGGTTAAGAGCATTGCCTGCTCTTCCAAAGGTCCTGAGTTCAATTCCCGGCAACCACATGGTGGCTCACAACCATCTGTAATGAGGTCTGCTCCCCTCTTCTGGCCTGCAGACATACACACAGACAGAATATTGTATACATAATAAATAAGAATAAATATTAAAAAATATATAATTAATAGAGGATAAGGCAGAGTGGTTCACTCTCATGTACAATAACATGGTTGCACTCAGTAAAATTGTCTCATTATATTGTGCTGCAATCTAAGGAAAACAAAATTACACTGAATTGTGTGTGTTAGCCTACTTAAGAAGTTCTTTAAGTAGACACTGCATAAAGAAGATATTCACTTTTTCCTCATAGTTTTAGAAGTTTTGGTCATATTGTACCTATACCAAGACAATGCATCATGGTGGAAGCATGCTTGGGTGCAGAGCGTTTCATGTAATGGCTAGAAACCAAAGAGAGGAAGAAGATGAATAGGAGGGTTTCCATTCTCCATTAAAAGCCTATTTCTGTTCTTTGAAAAAGAGCTACCATATTCTACATTTGAAGGACTGTATGACTTCCCCATTGCACCAAGTTGGGTACCATTTTTCTCATGGATGGGCTCTGGGAAAGATTCCAGGTATAATGTCTAGCAAAACATTTTTGTAAATTTTACGAAAAGAGAAGATACAGTCTGAAATGGCAGATACATGTTTCTTAAGGAGTGCTCATGAATAATTAATAAATAGAATTAAATGACAATAAATATTCTAGAAAATCTCATTTTTGTTTGTCAGTAACCTTTCCTTTCATATTCTTTCCTCTCTTGAACTTCTGTGATTCAGAATACAGAGTAGGTATCTCTGTAATTATAAACATTACTTACTCTCAAGAAAAAGCCCTCAACTCTACTTTAATATTATTTTTCAAATGCTTCTCAAGTTTGTAACTCTCTGATCATACAGTTAACTTCTCTTATTTGAATTTAGTATGATTTATGTGATGAAGATTCGAGTGCTTACTATGTGTCATGATGTTTATTACAAAGGAAGAGAGATGCTGAGGAGACACTGTCAGCCACAATCTTTCCATCAGTCTTCAAGCTATTTGGTTTACTTATCCTTATTTTTTAATGTTTTTTTCTTTTTTGTTTATTAAAAATTTCCACCTCTTCTCATCCTCCCATTTCCCTCCTACTCCCTTCACTCCACCCTCCCCCTTGCTCTCCAGTCCTAAGAGAACTCAGGGTGCCCTGCCCCGTGGGAAGTCCAACCTCCCCCCCCCCCCCCACGCTCCATCCAGGTCTAGGAAGGTATGCATCCAAACAGACTAGGCTCCCAAAAAGCCAGTACATGCAAGAATTCTTTCAAAGTACTGTATCCTTCTCTGACTCAGGGAATTGGTAGGGGACTCCCCTGTAAGCCAGTTTCGTCTTATTAGTCCTGTGTTCACAACAATGCTCAGCTGTGGGTACCTCCTCAAAGTCATCGTCTGACTACCACTCCATCCTGTTCTCTGCTACCTGCTGGAGATTTCCTTTTCCTTTTCATCTCATTATCTTTAAACATAACTAGGGATGGAAAATTATTTAATTTTGAATATACTTTTAGAATGTCCTCTCCACGAAGCAGAGTATTTGGATTAATAGTATCAAAATGTGGTGTGTATAACATATTTTGAAGGAGTATTTGAAGAAAAAAATGAATAGTTAGCAAATATTTTTTGAATATCAAGTAGCATCAAAGAAATTGGAATCTGTAATGATGTGTTTTGTCTTTTAGTTTCTGAATGCTGTGCTTGCCTAGAAAAGTGGGTTGGATATCAATGTAACTGTTACTTCATTTCCAAAGAAGAAAAATCTTGGGAAGAGAGCAGAGATTTCTGTGCTGCTAAGAATTCCAGTCTTCTTTATCTCAAAACTAGAAATGAAATGGTATGTACTTCACTTTTGTTTCTTACATTCTTTATTACCTATGAACATGTGCTGCCCAGCTGAGCTGAGCACTCTAATGAAAGTCTTTATCACCAAGTAGACTGTGATGTTTCCTGAGATCCTCAGTTTGATATACCTTGAATTATTCTTAGAAAGTCTACTAAAATAAGCATCAAAGATTTGTAGTATGGGGTAATTTTTGAATAAATTAGGAGCTAATGTGCAGCTCCCAAAACTTTTCTAGAATTAGTAGGCTTTTAACTTTCTAGAATTAGTAGGCTTTTAACTTTCCCAAAAGAACCATGAGAAAAACTTTTAATTATTATTTATTGGAACAGAATACTTAATCTCTTTCATGTGTTATATGACTTTTTGCCATCTTTCTGGAACGTAATGTAGAACCAACATTGGATCATATGAACATAAAATCACTTAGATTATGATTGTTGTTATCATGTGTTTCGTAGAGGAGTAAACCTAGGTAATGACATGCCAAACAAATACTCTACCACTGTGCCATATTCCCAACCTGGATGTAGTGGGGAGGGCCTTGGACTTTCCACAGAGTAGGGTGCCTTGCTTTCTCTTTAGATAGGAGGGGAGTGGGGAGGAGGGTGTGAGGAGGGAGTGGAAGGAGAGGAGAAAGTGGGAATTTGGATTGGTTTTTTTGAAGTAATAAAATAAAATAATATTAAAAAATGTTTTACTGTGTGTTTGAGACAGAGGTACATATCTCTGGCTTACCTTTAAACTCTCAAACAAAATGAAACTCTGCTTCAGTCTCCTGAGCACCACGGATTACAGGTCTGAATCACCAGGCTCCTCTTGGAAATCATTTAATTCTTATGAAGAAATTCTCACACTCTCCGTGGTCTGCTCAGATTAAAGAGGTTATAAGTATGGGAGTTATCTCTCAAGGTGTTCTCATTGGGGTTGCATTTGATCATCGATCTTCCTAAAGGAGGTTGGTGCTCCATGGAGTCTCATGCTCTTTATGACAATTTTCAAGTTTTAAGAAGCAAGATTTTGTAGTGTTTTTCCACGTGAGTCATTTACCACAAAGGTAAATAAAAATTTTAAAACATGTGACTATGCCTCCCAAATCAGAAGTTCAAAAAGATTTCAATTTGAGTTTTTTTTTTTTCTGAATGCCTTTTAAAATGGGTGTTGATCTCAAAGTACATTCAGACTTGGCTATCTTGTTCTTTCTGCCTCTAAGCAGAATTTTATGAGCTCCAGTCAAATGTATTTCTGGATTGGAATGCGTTATAATCAAACACGGGATGCCTGGCTATGGGAGGATGGCTCAAGCCCTTCAAAAGATCTGTAAGTTTCTGGCTATTGAAGAAGGTTTTGGGGGCATATTTTTATGTATATATTCTAGCTAAGAGTACTGAAAAATCACTGCTAGGTACTCAGAAGTTCAAATATGTTGTGCGGAGCCTGAGAACATATAAAAATGCCTAAGGAAAAACAGGATTGCTCTACCTATAACATTCAAGTTCATGTTCAGGTAACATGAAAGTTGTATACCTGAGACCCCAAGAAAATTTTCTTTGCTGTCTTTCCCTTGTTGTAAGATAATAGAAAACACCGGATGCGTCTATGCGTGCTCAGGTGGTCTCAGTTACAGGCATGGCCTGAGAACACAGCAGGTCCATTTTTGCTCTTCTAATGGATTCCACTATTTTTCTTATCATCTTCAAATATTCAACAACTATTTTCTGTAATCTCATTCTAATTCACAAGCATGTACTCTAAAGACTTATACAGTGACTAAGTTTATGCTCTCTCCTCGTAGCCTGGGTTAACTCATAGATTTTTCTCTTGTGCAGTGTAATCTTATTGCAGTTTTCCTTTTCTCAACTCCTCCCAGATCCTTGCCCCTTCTAAAAAAAATCTATACGAACCGCACCTAAGAGCAGACCTAACGCCTAGCAGTTGTTGACCAACATGAACAGCACATGAGAGATTTTGTTGCTGTTGTTTGTTTCTTTCATAATGTCTTGTAGGGTACTTTTTTTTAACCTTTCAGATATTTTGTGTATATATTATGTTTCCCACCTTGTTTTTTTCTGGGTTTTCTGTATGAGCTAACATGTGTCTCAGCATCTATAAATGCCTCTTGTACTTTTGCTTTGGTTCTTTTTCTTTTGTCATACTTCTTAACCAAATAGGGAAGACCAACATATTATCAAAAACATTTCTGGCCAGACATGGGTGGTACACACCTTTAATGCCAGCACTAGACAGACAGAGGTAGGTATATCTCTTTGAGTTCCAGGCTGGCCTACTCTGTGAATTCCAGGTCAGCTAAAGCTACATCCCAAGAACTTGTCTCAAAACAAAGCAAAGCAAAACAAACAAACAAACAAACAAAAAAGCAACCCAGGCATTTGTGACAGAGGTGAAAAAAAAAAACCAAAGAAATAAATAACAAAACCACAGCTAGAATACATTCTCTGGTCTTAGTACTAGTGGCCAGTGAGGAATCAACTGAGTTTTATGCAATGTTGTACTTCAGAGCTGTGAAAGTTTGCTGTAGGGCAACAAAACAATACCAAATACACAAAACCCCAAATCACTTAGCTAGTAAGTTTCTCAAGCAAGTGTTATCACACATTCTGAGCTGATAAAAATAACCTTAAACATCCTTACTCTTTTTTAAATGTTAACTTTTTTTTTCTTCATTACAGATTTCCAGAGTTCTCATATAACAAGACAAAGAACTGCATTGCATATATCCCAAGCAAAACTATTTACATCGAACCCTGTAAAAATAAAAACCATTTCATCTGTAAGCAACTGCATATTTAAATAGTTCTTAAGGCAATGGGCATAGACAAGAGAGGTCCAGGATTAGTTCAATATTACTTAACTCTCACAATATTACTACCTTTTCATCCTGAGTTGGTAGAATGTTTCTGCATGCTATCATTTTCATACATTTGAACCCAAGTATTTTATGCTTGTTGGATTTTTCATACCTGTGCATAAAATTAGGATGAATCAAGGTAGAGAGTTTTTATAAATATTTTGATTTAATGCATGCTCAATATGCAATATAATTTAATCCACATTCTTGTAAAGTTTTCTTGGAAACAGAATAAAATTTATTCCAAACCAAGTCATATGTATCCACGTGGTTTTAGTGTTTATATCAGAACTGAATTGAACCTGGAGATGAGTTTGAGAGACACAATCACTTCATGACAGTAATTCTCGTCAACCATGAGCCTGGGAGTGGGTTTTTTCATGTCTTTTCTCCTTCATAAGTTCTTCATATTTTACGGTTTTTGTTATAGAAGTCTTACATATACTTATGTTTATTTCTATTTTTGATTTTTCAAACTATTGTTAATAGGTTTGTTTTTCTGATTTCTCAAGAAATCACAATTTCTTTATGAATATTTAGAAAAGCTACTGAATCTTTTATGATTTTGAGTCCTGTTGAATGTTGAAGATGTTTCTTACATTCAAGAATTTTCTTTTTTCTTTTTTTTCTGATGATATTTTTAGTGTCTTTTAAGAACAGAATCGTACCATCTGCAAACTAACATGATTTGACTTATTCTTTTTCTAAGCACAAACCTTTTATTTATTTTTCTTGGCCTACCTCTAAGACTTCAAGCACTACATTAAGCAGCAGAGACCCTTGTCCCATCCCTGATGTTAGAGGAAATGATGTCAATTTATCTCCACTTACTGTTATTTTGGCTGTAGGTTTGTCATGTATTAAGCCATGTATTATACCGACATGTGCTCCTGATATTTCTGATTTATCAAAGGTTTGAATTGACATAAGAAGCTGAACTTTGTCAAAAGGCCTTTTCTGCATCTATACAATTGATAAAAAATAACCTGCAAAAATTATAGAGAATTTGATTTTAGTGTGTGCTCTAAAAGTCGAGTATGTTTTGTGACAAATAACAAGATCTGCACCAATGATGCACTGGGAAATTTCCTTCCCCTGTTGATACGTATGGCCAAAGCAACTGAGCAGAAGGAGAGTTTGTCAATTCTTAGGCTAGACCACCAGACAGCACTAGATACTTTCCTTTCTATAACCTTGGTTGATCTGGGAGAACCTAGGTAGAGCACCATTAGCAGCTCTGCTGAGCAGACTGTGTAAGGCAGAAAGACTTTAGGGCAGTCTGCAAGGATTGACGTCTGCTTTCATCATCTATGTAATGAGCAAGCCTTCTTTGCAAGTACTCTGTAGCCCAAATCAAACTTTCAAATGACCCTAGCCCAGTCAGGGTCTTGGTGATAATTTCATGCCTTGGTCACTTCTAGTAGGACTAGGAAAATGGGTCAGATATTAATTCCCTCATTAGCATGTTTCTGATGGTGTCAGCCAAATATAACTTATCTAGAATAAGTGGCTATAAAGATACAAATAGAAAAATCAAAGTAACTGTACTCCACCAATCACAGCTAAACAACCAACTAAGCCAGTCATAACCTAACATCAGCAGTCATACTTCAGTAAGTTAGCAAATTAATCAAATTATATGAACCAAATCAAATAATAGAGACTTACACAAATAGTAACTAGTTAAGGAGATGTAAGAGATGTAAAGCTACACTTTCAGCATGAATAAGACAAAAATATTTAGAAGTAAATTAAAAAAAAGCTATTAGAAACTTATGCAAAAACCTTACCAAAAGATGGAAAAGTATACAAGAATATAATGATATTTATTTTTGAATGTTTTCAAATTTATTTATTCAAATTTATTTCAAATAAATTCAAAAATTTATTATTTTTAAGGAAATGAACCATTCCCAATAGAAACCTAGTGAGATATTTGATGGAGATGAGAAATTTGATATGGATAATATGTAAAAATAACCATAGAGCAGCATGGGTGTGGGAGATGTGTCCTCCCCACTCCTGCCCATCAACACCAGAGGCATGTGGAAGATCTGGCCCTGAGGTCATATGAATGCGCCCCCCCCCCCACCAGCTGCAGCACAAGGGAAAATAGGACCTGAACCTAGGCAGCACAAAAGAACCAACCCTGTTGGAGGAGATATGTGTGAACTAGCCAGTTGTGAGTATGGGAGAACTGCTCCCATTACTTATCTGTCATGTGGTGACATGGGCTGGGAAGAGATGCTCTCTCTCATCCTCCCATCCTTTAGTCCACCAACACCCATCAATCCCTAAACAGGTGGAAGAGCTGACCCTGAGATCTTAAAAAGGGGAAACCTGTTCCTACCTCTCATTAGCTGCAGCACTTGGGAGAGTGATCCTTGCACCATGCCTGGGCAGTACAGTAGAGCTGATGCTGAAAGAGTATGTGTGGGGAACTGTAGGAGGGAGAGAGAGCTGCTTGGTGGTTCCCGGCCACTTAGTCCCGAAATAAACACAACACAGGGCAACAACAGGACATCCAAGAGGAGTTCCAGTCAGGGCCCAGCTTTGCTAGGTCACAGAAAAGAGAGGCCTCAAACCAGACCAATGACTCTGTACTACACACTTCCAAGTATAGACATGTGAACAATGGGATTTACTGTGTCACTACAGCTTCCATGATGAGATTGAATTCCCCCCTTTTCTTTTCTTTTTTTCTCTTAAATTATATTATATTATATTATATTTTTTGGAGGGGTGGTTGCAAGGGCATAGGGTGAATAAGAAGGGACAGGGAAATAAATCGGGTGGAAATGCATGATGTCAAAGACAGAAAGAATAAATAAAAGGAAAGTTTAAAAAAGTCACAGAGATTAAACAGACTGAAAAGTTACAACTGTGACAAGCAACAGCATCTACTAAATATGGGGATGCATTTGCAAGTATTAAAATAGAGGGACCGAGGGAAGAGGTTATAAAAGCCCCAAATAGTCTGGACTTCATATACAACAAAGGTGCATAGACTGTGTACAGGACTAAATAAAAAATTTTTGACAGTGTTAGCTTTTCTAATCTATGAGCAAGTGTTCTCAATCCTTTATTTATGTTGCTAATTTCTCAACACATACCTCTAGTTTTGGCAGAGATAACTTAGACTCTTTTTCATGCATTTGTCAGTATTTGAGATAATTGGAAACAGACTTCATGCATTTTTATTTCCTAAAGATTTGCCAACATGAAATTAAAAGGTATTTCTAATCCTGAAAAGTGAGAATGGTAGTACTACTTCATATTAATTTGAAAATTTTACCTAACAAAGTGAGACAATTTTAATAATATAAACCTAAAATAGAATGAAATCAACTGTATGTTTGTATGTGTGTGTTTGTGTGTGTGTGGTGCAATCATTTCTCACAAATTACTTTCCACATTATAGTTCTGGTAGTTTGAATGTAATTTGCCCCAATAAGATCATAGGGAGTGTCATTATTTGAAGGCATGGCTTTTGTTGACAGAGGTTTTCTGTCCTGCCTATTTCCCATAGTTGTTAAGTCCCAAAGAGATCACACAGAGGTCTACATTAGTTATAAACTGATTGGCCCATTAGCTCAGGCTTCTTATTAACTCTTATAACTTATATTAGCCCATTATTCTTGTCTATGCTAGCCACATGGCTTGTTACCTTATTCAGCGAGGTAGTCACATCTTGCTTCTTCTGTGTCTGGGACACGGAGTGCAGAAGAAACTTCCTTCTTCCCAGAATTCTCTTGTTCTTGTTGACCTGCCTCTATTTCCTGTCTTGTTGTCCTGCCTATACTTCTTGCCTGGCTACTGGCCAATCAGCGTTTATTTAAAAATATAATTGACAGAATACACACCATTGTCCCACATCAGGCTTTGTTAGAGTAGGTATGACCTTGTTTGAGAAAGTGTGTCAATTTGGAGGTGGCTTTGAGGTCTTATATATGCTCAAGCCATGTACAATGAGACAGCCCACTTTCTGTTGCCTTCTCATCAAGATGTAGCCAGCACCACGTCTGCCTGCACTCTGCCATGGTGATGAAGGACTGAACCTCAGAAACTGTAAGTGAGCCACCCCAATAAAATGTTTTCTTTTAAAAGTGGTAATCATGCTCATGGTTTCTCTCTACAGCAATAGATACCCTAGCAAAAACAATAGTTTACCATCAGATCACTCTACCTTGAAAAAAAATGTTCATCTTCTTAGTTCTGTCATATAATCTTATCTGTTTTGTAGCAAATGCTTATTTACTGACTTTGCTCTTTCTTAGACTCTTCAGAAAAAGTCTGATGATGCTTTATAATGCACACTAACATAGCACAGTGTCAGACAGCCTCAGAATTATGGAGATCCTCCAGCTTTAGTCTTCTTCTGAAGTGCTGGCATTGCAGGCATAAGCCACAATTTCCAACTCTGAACAAATATTTTTCAATATCTTATTTAGTCTGTGCCACTAACTTGAGCACATGAACCACTCATGTCTTTGCATCTATCCACACAGTTAAACAAAACTCTGTCCTTTGTATGATATAAATTTTGCTTATATTGTATAGCAAAGGGAAAATAGTAATCAAATTTATAGCTGTGTTTCCAATCATAAATTCATAAATGTTTCAAAAAAACCTAGGAATTGGCATTAAAGACATTAATATGATTGAAATGAATACAAGGTGAGTCCAGGCACTGTTTTTTTTTTTTACAAGCAGGTTGGCATGTTATTAGAGATCTGAGGAATATAAGTTTTGGAGCCATCAAGATGGCTCAATTCATAAAAACTCTTGCTACTAAACCTGATAACATGAGTCAAGTCTCTGGAGCCCATATGCTGGAAGGAAAGAACTGACTTCTATAGGTTGTCTCTGCCATCTCCAAGCTGACTGTGGTATGTGTGCTCCTGCCAATACAATATATAAAATGTAAAAGAAGAAGGAGAAGGAGAAGAGGAGGAGAAGAAGAAAAACAAGAAGAACAAGACACTACAAAAGAGAGATTGTGTCCTGCCAGATTTTGAAGCAAATTCTTGCATGGTCTAATGATAAATTGCTAGTATTGCTAATGCTAATCTTTAGTCTGCAGTATTGAATTTAGGAGAAAGTTCATGAAGCAAGTCATTTATCCAATTACTTGCCTTTCCTGAGTACATTTCTGTTTTATGCTTCTTATACACTTCACATAT